CACGGTTCCCTTGTCGAGGTTGGGCTGTATCTTTCCGCTGGGCCGGTTAGGGTAACAATAAATCAGTTTTCTCACTTAATCCCTTTTCACTCTCATCTGGTACCCATCTCTCTTGTTTCGACAATCGGTAGCACAGCCAGTGACGCCGGTTTGTGTGCACTGGCACAAATTACACGCGAACCAAGGCTTGGTCATTTCATCAAAAGGTCGCTTCGGGGCGCAGATTTCGGCCATGCAGGGGATAGGCAATTTCGTCACGCCGATTGCAGGTGGCCGTCACATCCCTTCGGCTTAGATCGCTCTCTTGTCTCCAGGTTGGCGAGAAGAGGACAGAGGGCCCGCCACTGCCACAGCTGCTGATATCGTCATGCCCCGAACTGAACGCATATACTACATGCGATTTTGTGTGTGTTGCTGTGTGTGTGTGTGTGTTTGTTGTTCAGTCGGGTTGAGGGCCCGTCTGTGGTGAGTTACGTCTCCGGGCCGGGGTACCAGACGGGGACTATTCGATTATTCAATCCTCTGACGCATGTCGCTTTCGCCCTGACCAGCCAGGCTCCGCCCACCAGGTGGAGTCGGGGCGTCCGGTTAATCCGGCCAACTGTCCTTCCCACCGTCGGGCCCACATGTCTGCCTCGGCCCGGCCCTGTACTACCGGTACCTGCCGTTGCCGGTAATAAGGCACCGTTCCAGTCAGACCGGGCATATCGCGACATCCCAGTTGCCCGCCTCCGACCGATTGCTCGGCTTATTAGACGCCACTGGTCCCACCCTTTCGCCTCGTATGTACGTGTGAGTGTGCACTCCGGTAGGTGTGCTCACGCGACCGCCTCGGTCAAGATGATCAGCGATCGGACACGTGACCTATGGACGAGTCAGGCCCCGCATCAAGTGGGTCGCCGTCGCCCGGCCCGACTCGACCCACCACCTGCGATACCGCCGGTAGGCCGCCTAATCCGAGTCCTTTCGTACAGACCGGACCCGAGGCCGTGATTATGACGACGACCCGGGAAAGCCCGACTCGTCGGGGCAACAAGACGAACGTGAAATATCAGAACAGGGCCTGTGACGGGATTAGGGGAGACGGGAGATGGCGTCGCTCCACTTATCCTCTATTCGCGCGCACACACACACGCCTATGCCCATCAGTCCTCGAGTCCGGCCGGTCAGCTTGACGGCGAATAGAGGCAATTGAAAGCTGGCCAACCACCACATCGAGCAGACCCAGCAATGATGGGGCAATCGGCAGACAGGAACGCCATCGACTGTCCATCCGGACACGGCTGTGGGGATTCGGGCCGAGAGCAGTTGAGTCCAGATTCAGCTGGCTGCTGTCGCCGCGGCAACAGGGACCCCAACAAGTACCTAGCGAGGCACGTGTGAGTATGTGTATATGTGTGTTTGTGTAGGTGTCCTAACTGAGTCCACTCTGTCGGTGGCCACATTCCTCAATACACTTGCCCAACGGACCAAGTCGCCTCGAGGCCTAATTTGGGCTCTCCCCTCGTCTGGTACAACATTTGTCGGCACCTTTAGGTTGCCACCCCCTGGCCTATCGCTCTCTCCATTTTTCCCAGTTCGTCCATGCGCCGATCAATCTGTCCAGGTCAGCCGAAGAGGCAGATGTCCAGTTAATTGACTACAATACTGGTAGAGTGGGGGGTAGATCCCCTTAAGCGTTCGTCAGTTATGCGGGCTGCGGTCGCCGGGGCGACTGGATGATGGTGGGATGGGATGAGAGGGGGTGGGAGGAAGGAGGGTAGACAGGAGAGGCGGATCTCGAACGCGTGTGTCAAAAGAGTGGGACTTGGTATTCGAGGACATAGCGGTCTGCGAGACGAGACAGCAACTGAGAACGGACTAGGCATGGATTGTCACGCTTCGTTTGTCTTGAGCATGCTTGTCCATGCACCCGGACGGAATTTCACACTTTGGCATGTCGCCTTCACGCCAGTCAGGAATTAGGCCGTGACCACTTGCTCGGCCCTACCACATCCACTCGATTAGAGGATTCAGGGAACAGGTCAAGCCTGCCGACCGGGGCTTCGTGTAGCAGAGATTTTGCTCATTAAGCAGTTTGTAGACCGACTCGTCTTACTGGAACCGGAACAAAAAGACCTGGACTCGGGCAATCGGTGTAGACGAATTTATTCAAGAAAGAGGGATTCGAAGCCTGAAACAGCAAATATCATA